TTAGACTTTTTATGGGCTTTATTCTTTAATAATATATTTATATGGTTTATAGCACTGCTGCTACACAGATTATGCGTCGAGTTTTGAACAATTTTTACGTATGAATATTAAAATATAGAAAAGTAATAAGGGTGTTCCATTAGCGAGAAATTTGTCAGTTATTCAATTTTGAAACGAAATCTTCGGTTATTCTGTATAAATTTAAATTGAACTTCAGTTTCTATTAAGTAACAAAAGAGTCCTTTTAGTAATTCACGTAAATTATCCAGCGTGAATAGCCACTAAAGCTGTCTATACAGGCTACAATATTTTTCACATTTTGTCATATTATGCCCTATTGAAATTAACCGTAAATTTTTCGGTAGAATTTAATAATATAATCATTTATAGTGTTCTATTTAAAAAAGCATAAGTTTGATATGTATCTTTTTTGGGGATACAATTCACTTTAAAATGTGGCTCACTTAAACCTCTATATGTAACAAAAAGATTAATTAGAAATCTATTCGCTTCCTCGTAAGATAAAGTATCGAATAAGGTGGGCCACCATGTAGATTATAGATTTAAGTAAACAAATTTTAGCGATTTTCCTAAAGACGAAAAAACAAATTAGCAGGATTTGGCGTGTCTTAATTTATGTACTTGATAATTGAGGATTAATGATCGGGATACATTTATACGTTGTTCTGGTTACTTCATTTTACTTAATTACATAAGTTTTTACTGGAAATGGAAAAAAGGAAGCAATAATGACGCAAAATCAATTAAACATCAATAACGAAGAAAAATTAGTTCCGGTACAACAAAGATAATTCAATATATCGATTAATCTTGAAAAGCTCTACACACTGCAAATTGCAACCTTTCACCTTCGCTTTGCAGCCTGAAATTTTAACAATGAATAGGTACGTTTGTGTTGGCATTTCGCGATACGGTTATTACAACAGCACGTTTTCAAATACATAATTATGGTATTGAAAGAATGACCAATAATTATCAAAAAAATTAAGACAACGTTCCAAAGCCAGTACGCCCAATTTCCGAACAGCATTTCACTGTCCTTAAAAAAAATGAAAGCTTGACATTTCCCGTTTATATTATCTACAATTTGCTTTAGATAGGTACTTATATTTGCTCGCTATGGTGTAAGGGTACACGACTGTATATTAGTTCCACTCGCTACGTGATATATATTTAAATGTTTGGGGAATTGTTATGGTAAGTAATAGCTCTTACTTTCTTACGTCTGCCGAATCGAGGATCGTTGCTATCTAGATGCACGAGAAAATTTTTGGAGATTGAATAATAATAATAACAGCATTATATCACAAAATTCAAAAATGGTGCAAGTCAGACAGGTAGTTTGATTCCGTCTTGCATATTAAATGTAGAAAGTATTCGCTGTTAGTCTCAGTTTCAAAAAATGTTAAAACTAATCCCTGTAATYGGATGCCCAAMATTTYAARAATGCRCAAACTTGCATTTTTTAATAAAACACTCTTCTTTTATTGGATTTTCACATTYCTGARATAAATCTTTTTTCACGCGTTTCACATATAAAAATATATTTTTATTGTATATTAAAATTATTAACGTTATGTGTAAGTTTTCCTCATGCATTTRCGATCTGTAAAAGTAAGTCAGTGAGTGATACTAGTCTACCGACAATAAAAATATTGTACTTTTAATTTTGCTGTTAAAATTAGTTTTACTTCTCTTCAAAACATTTAAGTTAAGTTAAAATACTGTACTTAAAAAAGTACAATTTTCATGTTTCCTTCATTTTTCAAAATCAGTATATGGCATTAACAGCATTATTTCACAACTTCAAACAACAAACGGATGAGAATCTAACAAGAATGTTGACCTGTCTTGAAATAACCCGTAATATTCTTTATGAACTTTTCTGCCCATTAAATGAACTTAATTAGCATACAAAATAATTTTTATTACATCTGAGAAAAAAAAATGTATTCACAAATTTTAGAAACGAAAGGAATCACCTTATAATGAAGAAATAATTTGTAACTAATCAGGCACCTTAAGCAAAAAACTCTGGAAATTCTGTCATGACAACTAGGATCTTTTGCAGCATATACAATTGCAATCATTCCACAGATGGCAATCAACTGTTTATGAAAGACATAAGCACTATCTCGCACAAGAACAAAGACTCATAGTTCATTATTATTCCTTTCATTATGTCGTTGTTCTCTATAATTTGATCGCAAAAAAAAAACAGAATGTCGCAACCTTTGCCCAGAATCTGACAAGTTAAAACGTTAAATAAAGACGCACGCCTAAGGATAAAGCAAAAATATTAATAAATAAAGCAATCACCGTTTATTTGAGTAATGAACTGTTACCGTGACCTGCAACCTCTGCTCGACCTCTCTTGGCTTGCACTTTCATTTAGGTGTTAAACTGTAGTCACGAAATCAATAAAAACATCTGCTAATATAGAACGACGTGAATTTCGAAAATGGTAATGATTTATTTTAACTGAACAACGAGATGAATCTCGTACCTAAAATGAACATTACATAGAACTGAGTTCATAAGATAAACCCAATTTGAAAGTATTTGATCGCATTTCTTCATGTGGGACCAAATCCGGATTGTGTGTGAAGTTGGATGGTTCTTGGATTATCTGGATTGCTTTTCTTGTGAATGAGATTTATTAATTTATTGCTAGCTTTCAATCTCTCAAGATTTAGCATTTACATCAAATACAAGTGCTTTGAATTTCCTTATTAGAAAAAAAATGTGCTTATTACAGAGATGAAACAGGAGAGATTAATACACTTTCCAAGTAACCAAACAAATCTAGAGCATTGAGCCATAAAACGATTCTATCTTAAGAAGGGAAGTGAAACCAATCTCCATAAAGGCGCAGTTTAAGCTTCATATCAAACTATTTCTAATTTGTGTGCATCTGCAGCACTTTTTACAATATGAAAACTGAAATTTTGGAATAATTTTTAGTCGTTCTAGAAGCCCACATTGAATAATTTCTATTTAGCAGTATTCAGCTTTCAGAAAATTTAGATTTGTTACAATGTAAATATTAACCAGAAGCAATGATATTGAATAGCAAGACCTAATATTTGCCCAGATTTTCAGGTAAGTGCACAGAGGGATTCAGTTTCAGATTCCAGCACATTCAGTATCTATGTCTCCCTTAGTTCGAGCAATATGAAAAACGCTTTATTATTAATTAAAAAGATTATTCTTGTTGTAAAAAAATGGTTGAATGTCCAAAACTTAAAATGCAACTATAAAATATAATATACTTTAATAAAATACGCTTTAGGAGTAATATGCACCTACATTCACGCAATGCAAAAATAATTTCCTTTTTTGAAACGATGTCTACAATAGAATTTTTTTTTTCAATAACTGTTTTCAATATTGTCAAAAATAAAAGTGACAAAAACGGTAATAATATGATAAACGCGTGGATAAAATTTTAAGAATTTGTCAAACCTTCAAATAAAAAAAATAATATAGGATTAATTTTACTCCATCTTTTTATGAAAAATTACTTTTTTGTTAAAATTAATAATAAAAAGTTTCATATGGTTCCCACTTCTTCCGTTACCTTTTCCCATATACATTTGGGCATGTAAAAGAATCTTTTAGAAATGAACTGATCTTAAATAACTGACAAACCAAGAGTGAATCCATAATTGATAGATAAGATATAAAATAAAATAATTCAGCCCAGAATTCAATTCTGAATATTTGATGCTGGCGATTCCAGTTTTCAGTTTATTTTTATTATTATATTAATTTTTTGTTTTGTATTGGTGACAATGATAAGGAGGGATGAGTTAAATTGCAATTTCGGTTTAAAATACAAAACTAATCTGGACAAATGGGAGTGTAACTGTTTTACCGATAAATTTCGATGCCCTTCTTCGCATTTAAAAGGCCAAATATCTATGTTGTCCACATTTTGTTAATTTAAAATAGGGAGAAAGCTAGCACGTTAAAAGGTAAATTGTGGAATCAAAATTATAAATAATTAATGATAAATCTCCCTTGCCTTTGGAATTTTGGGTGTATGGAAAAAGCATCTGAAAAAGCATCCACCTCTGTAATTCAAATCAAGAAGATAAAACGCGATGTTTGCAATAAAAATAGTAAACTAACGATAGCTTTTTCGCAAAAACGCAACAACAGAAGCTTTGTTATCCATTAATAGTGATGTAAAACAAAAATTATTTATAAAATATATCAGCGTGGGTTTAGAAGACAGCGAAAACCCGATTCACGAAAATGACCCCAATAAACCAGAACAGAAAAAAACACAACAAAGTACAAAAAAAAACTTTTTGTGTAAAAAACTACATTGTTTTTAGCTAAAGTTTTAAAATGTGTACTGTCGTCACAGCTTTTTTCTTTTACGTGAAAAGTTTTACTTAAAGATGGAGAACAAATATGTTGTATTCTACCTTAAGACATTCGAGCCAAATGCCCATATCAATATATAAAAAATGTCTTTGCGGTTACTTACATTCCGAATATAGTGTAACGATTTTCGAAGTTTTCTCTTATCATGCAATTATTGAATAACATGTACCACGCTTTACTGTGGTGTATGGGTGGTTAGAGTAGACCTTCATATGCGCCGTATATTCGTGTTTAATGACCCGCATGAAGAAAAGCTGAGCTAACTTATAGACGCAGCGTAATTTCACACATAAGTGATCTTTGCGTAACAATAGATTGCATTTGAGTCTCTACGATAAATGAAATTGTATGTATTCGGTGCCCATGTATTAGACCTAATCTCATTGTTGAATGTTTCAAACTGGAGAAAATTAAGATTGTTCGATCAAAATATGTATATTCTGTTTAGCAAAACACCTACGGATCTCACGGTTGAACTAAGACGTTACCTAAGTTATTAGTTATGTTGGTTTATTTTTAACCCAAGAAGTAGAACGTATTAAAAGCATAACACGAAGGGAGTGACAAGTGAAAACAACAAAACATTACTGTTAAAATTATGATTACAAAAAAATACAAATGGCATAAATATTATTATATCATTGCAAATTCACTAGGATTGATTAGGATCAATGAAAAGGGTTGTTTTCTGAGCAGGATCATCCGGCAATTGCACTTGAATTAGTTGATGATTCGAAATATCAGGCAGTCCGCCACATTGATCTGGTGGCACTTCAGTGAGGGTTTGAGTTGTCGAATCAAACACCACTTGGTGGATGTAAAAAATGTTTTCGCTGGTTTGACCATCCGGAGTGTTAACGATTACTTTTGCTAAGGGGGGTTGATCGAGGCTCAGTCTGTTGCCACTTTGAGGTTGTAAATGGCAAATCGATGTGTTTGCACAACCTAGAACGTTTTGATCTGATAACACTGCCATATAATCTATCTATGGACATTCACTACTAAATTTCCACTTTGCTTACTATCTCAATTCACTTAAGCTCGTCCCAAATGTGTTCTAATAATTTGCGACACGTAAGTACTTAACTAGCTACAAGGACTTTGTGCGACAAATCTGAGAACACCTTTTTCTACAGTACAAAAGCAAATCACTCTCACCGCAACTAAAATCGCATGTACGTTTCTGCAGGCAACATTAGAATGAGCACCTTGAAAGTGAACTAATTATATGTTAAAGCTAAGATCGAGAACAATACTTAAATTTAAGTTCCTATTAAGTCCTTTTAACAGTCAGTCAAGGAGAGCAAATAATTGTTAGTTAACAAATTAATTTTATTAATTCCCAACATTAGTGTTCAATGACTTTCAAGGTGAAGCAACTTTGTATCTTACCTGTTAAATTCGTGCTCTGATTCGGCAGTTCATCTGCTGAAGCCATTCGCTGCTTTTCTAAGGCTTCATTAAGCCTTTCACCAGCTTTCTGAGATGTTTTAGCGGCATTGTGGACTTCTTTAGCTACAAGCTGTGCCACTTTTTCAATGGCAGGCGCTGAGGGTTTTGGAGCATCAGCCACTGGATTACACCAATGTACAAAAAAGGCGTAAGCTTGAGACGTATCCACAGGATGTAGATGTTGAAAGTTTATCTGAAAGCGATACAAAAGAAAAGCGGTCAATGGTGCACTTGTAAAAACATGTTATGTGGAATTGGAAATAAAAAAGTTATGAAAATCAAAAATTGTCGTTTAAATAAGTGTCCGTTTGGAGCAGTCAAATAAATCATTCATCTCAACGACAACGCTAGGACCCAGCAAACGCTACGTTTTAGAAATAAAAAAAATGTCTGGGAAATGTTCAACATCCTTCTTACAGTCCAGACTTGTCACCTTGTGACTTTCGTCTTTCTGGATCCCTGAAAGAAGCACTTTTACGATATGGCGACAATGAAGCAGTAGATTAGTTTGTGCTCGATAGTCCAAAGAGTTTCATTGATAACAGAATTAAAAAACTTTCATTGCGATGTAAAAAAAATTTCTAACGCAAGAGATTATGTAGAGGTATGTTCTTTCAAAATGACAAATGAAATAAATTATGAATTTAGCAGCAATATTATTGTGCTTCGGCCTTCAATTCAAAGTCAAAACCAATAAAATCGACTTTCTACAACTTAATCGAGCTTAGATTAATGACTTGAACTGATTCTATTACAAAAATTATTATTTTCTGCAGTTTATATATTTAATTACAATATAAATTCCTTTACCTGCGAATATAGCTAAAAAACGTCATACCGAATATTCTGCCATGAAATTTCTTACCAACCACCTTGCTGAAGAAGCCAAAATAATAAGTTTATTGTTAATATCCAAAATCAATTCAAACAGTATCCACTTAAAATATATCTGAGACCAAACAGCTTGACAAAAAGGGGTACAATGTGAATCTAGCACTGAGGGCGCTAAATAAAAACTACAAGTTCTGGACAAATGGGTGTTTCAAATAATTTTCAATGTGTTTTCTATGTCGTATAATTGGGAATCGAATCAAATAATGTTGCACTTACATACACTCAAATACCATTTTTTAGTTTACTATTTAAAGTGTACACAATACAATTAACTGCTTTATAGTTATTTTAAAAATAATTCCTAAGATTTATTTTCCTGCGATTTAAGCAAATGTTTACTTGTTTTGTTTACATTAAAGAATCGACGCTCATCATAACCGGAATTATTACCAATTTCCTTTGTTGAATTTGGTGGAATTTCAAATGCGAACAATTATCGCTTTGGTCGAAATACCGGACGTCGTATTATTAAATGTAATTTCAACTAATAATAGATCCAAAATTTAACAACTAATTAACAAATTATAACATTTGCCTATTGAGTAGGCAAATATCGGTATAATGGTACGATGTATTTTAGTGAAACTCGCTGTAAATTTGGTCTTATGTAAGACTCATATTTTGATGAATCATTCGAGTTCATCCGTTTTGGACAAGTGGTGAATTCTTGAGTGTCGTGGTACAAAAACTCCCAGAACCTTTTATTTGGTGTATGGAATCAACTAATTTTTTTAGTTGATGCACTAATCATTTATTCACAACTTTGTGCTGTTTTTGGAAAAACTTTCACCATCAATAGCAGACGAGCCAGACATTTTTGAAAGAATGCAAATAATATCGCAGTATCCTTTTGATCATGTGCTTACGGGACACCCTGTATATGTGAATAAATTAAAAATATGGCCCACCACCAACCAATAAGCACACTTTTCGCAAAAATACAGATAAAATCAGTATAAATTTAATGAGACCAAACTTGAAACTTGAGAGAAGACACCACAAGACCTCGTTGACCACTTTGTGAGGTCTTTGCAGGTTTTCAAGAGAGCCCTCGAGATGGTTGCATGAAATAATGAAAGAAGAACTAGCTCAAAATGAAGGTGAAGTCTGGAACGCTGCACTTTCTACTCGACTAATGAAAAACTCCTACCTTTATAAGGGTATTCAGCCCAAGCCGAACAAATCGGTTCGACTTCTTAGTACCTACTGTATTGCCTAGCACTTTAACATCGAGTGTTGCCCTGCATTTCCTTGCATCAAAAAGAAGCTCCTTTTTCACCTCTTTCGACTCATAGGCCCAACATTGGTACTGCTTACGAAATTTCACTTTGGGTCCCGTATTTGATATTTTATGCACCCAAATCGTGTCTGTGAGGAAGGAGAACTCTTCCACCCACTTATCGCAGTACTGATTGTAATCATTATGTTCCACTCTGATTTGAGTCCTGAATTTTATTTCGTAGGCCTTCTCTTCTGTCCATTTGCTGTCCGTGATTTCAAACTTTCGGTTCAAATTTGATAGAATACCAAGAAAATCGCGTTTTGCAACTGGTTCAGTCATGCTTTATTAATTTTAAAGGAAAATTAAATATCGACCGACAAAGAATCATCACAAAAACTTTTTAAAAGGAAATTGGGAATTCTGTTTTTTTTTTCAAAACCAAAACATCAACAACAATCAGCTGGTTTTGGCAAAATAGGTTTGACTAGGTTTACACCACTTACCCCTAATGAAACTTGCCATAATAATGATGCGATTAGCAGTCTACGGACAATATCCTGACGACCTAGAGCATGATTAAATAAGACGATAAATATGCAGATAAAGCTGATGATGTTTCAAACACATCAACTTTCTTAATGCCATTAAAAAATAATTTTCATGACAAACCATTGTGTGCTGAATAAACGCAGTCATTTGGGAACAAATAACCTTAGAAACATATGTCACTACACTATATTGAAATGTCATTGAAAATTTTGCTATACAACTCACTGGACTGTATCTGTTGCACTCACTCCCTTGCTATCAGATAAAGCCAAAAACATTCTCCGATTTAAATTTTCATGAGCTTCTTTAATGTCAAGATTGGACTTGCGTAACCCTCAAAGATCAGCATTGAGGTTAAGTCACAATTTTTTTTTTGTAGATATCAAATGAAAATTCCAAATTTTTTCAAAAGCATTTTTTTCGGTATTCCCATTGGAATAACTATTGTGGATTCGGTGGGGTATGTGGCTCGAGTTGATGGCATTTCCATGCAGCCAGCTCTAAACCCTGACAGAAATACCACAGACTATGTGTTTTTGAACAAACTGGCTGTTAGGTCTTATGATGTTCAACGGGGTGATATCGTATCCTTAACATCCCCAAAGGATCCTACTCAGAAAATTATTAAGAGAGTCGTAGGCATACAAGGTAAGAGATAAGGACTTTTTTAAGAAGTCGTTTAGACTGGCCTGTCGCATTATAGTTTCGCACAGTTTTGAGTATTGTACAGTTTATCTGCATAAATGGGATACATTTAGGCCACACATATTATTGATATTCCATCGTTTTATGAAGAAACAGCTCAAAATGAGGTGAAATCTGGAACGTAGCACTTTCTACTCGACTATCTGTCTGCTCAAGACTCAAGACAGTCAGGATTTTAAATTATTTATTCATGCTGAATAGCAGGACTGATATTTTTCGTTGATTAATAGTATATTACGGTACAAGAGATGAAAGCTGAAGTTTCACCACTGCTTGAAATTGATAACGAACAACAAAAAGTTTTGGTAGTTTTTGTACCAAGACACTCAAGAATTCCCCACTTGTTTAAACCGGATGAACTCCGTTTGTTCCAACAAAATTTGAGGTTCACATAAGAACAAATTCACGGCTAGTTTCATTGAAATCGTACCATTCTCCAGATATTTCAAAGAACATATTATTTTTAATACACTTTGACTGTGAGTAGCAGAGGAGTCAGACGTTTTTTCTTAATAAAAGTTAAGTAGATCAGATCCTCTTCTTTTGACCCATAGGATGTTGCAGATCTTTTTGATCATGTGCTTACGGGACACCCTGTATAAATACGCTGAAATCCCAAATCGTTAATTTTGGTGTGATTAGCATTTAATTCGTTAAGGATGTGAACATGAAAAGAATGTGTGTATTGTTACAGAATTTAAGAAAATTTGATAAAGGGGGATCTATGGGCAAAGCCCTGGGTTAATTGAAGGCCACATTTAGGGGCATCTGAAAGCGGTCATTTACTGGTTTATCCGCTTCTCGCGTTTTAAAAATAACGATAAGCTTACCTTACAGATAAACCCTTTACTAACAACTTTTTTTTAGGTGTCTTTCTTGGGGTATTCGTTTTTTCGCTACTTTTACTCATTGAAAGTCACTACTTTTCCATAAAGAAACAAAAGGCGCCATTACGTTTATGCTCTCTAAGACTTCACGGTGACGTAGTTCGAAAAATTTTGCCAATTTGTAAATATAGGTACAGGGTGTCTGTAAAATGTCTGTACAAAATCTTACCACATATTCCACATATATACAGGGTTATTCACGCTATACGGCACGAACGTTCTCGGCTAGCCCGTTTGTTTTTTGCAAAGTATTATTTGATGAATCCACAGACGCCTATCGGGTGCACATTTAAAAAATATTTTTGTAATGTGTAAGTGTCCCAAAAGCCCTAAAAGTATAAAAGTTGTGTTTTTCTAAATGAAATACCCTGTAGATTATTGCATTTTTGGATTCTCTGAGCAAAATAAGTGTTTGTTTAATAAGATTTATAATGTCTAAATCTAAAGGTTTTTTAAATATATCGAATTTTATCGCCACGCAAACTTCCGTGACGTATAGCGTGAATAACCCTGTATACTTCTCCATATATATATACACATATCTAACATGATGATTTGATCTAATTTGTCTAATCCAAAAGTAGACAGCGTTTTTCAAAATATAAGGCATCAAAGTTAAGATTATAAAATAAAAATAAAACTTATTTTGTTTATAATTCTTGAGGCTTCTAATAGGTAAGAGTCCGCTTTTTATAAGGTACGTGTACAAACACTAGTCTGATCATAAATAATTGAGCGATAAACCATATGCAATTTTGAAAATGATTCTAATATCTGGCTTCCTCGCAATACAAACGATTTTTTCCAATTTTTTATCTTAACTTTGACGCGCTGTATTTTGAAAACCGTCTCCCTTTCGATTAGACAAATTAGGATAAATCATCATGTTTTGCCCATACCGGGCATTGGAATCGGACAAATTCCGGAAATGGGCCTTAGAAATTTCCCGTCTTTTGGTTTGGGTTTTTTGAAATATTATTTGTTGAACTTTCTTTCCGTTAAAAAATGTGGATTGTACTGCTAGGGCACTTTGGTATTCTTTGATACAAGCACAAATATAAAATTTTGGGGGCACTTAAATTTTGGAACATTCTATACCTATTTCAAAGACGGTTTTAAATATGCAATCAATAGTGATGATCTTTGTACTAACCCTTTTTAAGAATTATATTTTATTCCTTTTCGTCATCAATTCTTAACCTCCAGTGAAACAGAGACATAAATATGGACATCCAAAAACTAACAGATTTTATCTTGCGAACGCCCGAAAATATCTGATGTGATAAGATTATTTTAACTCCACTGTTTTACTTGAAGCCAGTAGACTAATGTAGTTCCCAAAATGTCTATTTTCATTCAATGTATTAATACTTCGAAATGATCCATATTTAAGCAATTATTCCGTAATTCTCTTACTAATAAAATTTCCATCCAATAAAACTTTATTCCGCATATACAAAGTGCCTAAATCTTCCATCAATAACAACCAGAAGGTTGATGCCCTATTGATCAAGGATGACTTTCCAACCAACCATTCTCAGGCTAGTTGGAACAAGCCTTCACATCTAATCCTTCATAAATAAACTTATTTGTTTTCATTTAGTTTAATTCGTTAAGAATTTTGATTCTTTTGTCATATATATTGGAAGCAATGAAACACTCTTGCATTTTTTGGATTTTGTATTGGTCAGCAAAGATTAATGCAGCATTGCAGAATTATATGTGGCTCATTTATTTAAAAAAATGTCTCCTTGCATATTTCAAGCTTAAGTAATTGTTGAATAGTTTTTTACACTTTTAGGAGACGTTATTAAAACTCTTGGATATAGGGATCACGTTGTAAGAATTCCGGAGGGTCACTTCTGGATCGAAGGTGATCATACTGGTCATTCTATGGACTCAAACAATTTTGGTCCAGTTTCATTAGGTCTTTTGACTGGCAAAGCTTCTTGCATAGTGTGGCCTCCTTCTAGGTGGCAAGTGATATCAAGCGCTCTACCTGCTTCCAGAGTTCCTTTAAATATTAAGCCTATAATAAGGGGATTCTAACAAATTGCTAAGTAAGTAGATAATTCACTAATACATTTCAGTGTGTAAGTTTAGACGGGATTGAAAGGACAAAAGACGCAATCAAAAATAATAAAAGACGCAATCGCAAATAAAATTAAATTTTTGTTCACAACAACAAATTTACTTTTATTTTATGTGGAACATCCTTCCTACAGTCCAGACTTGTTCAGACCTTAGTTAAAAGTAAAGTTTCTCCTTTTTAAGAAAAACTTTTAGCTAAGGTAGGTAAAAAAGTTTTTCTTTTTTTTCTTCACCACTGTCCAGACCGAATCCCCAAGAAAATCAACAATCTTTCAGCTATTGTTAGAATCTAAGCAGTAGAAATACATTTATTTCAGAAATTAAATATACAAATAAATAGTACAAATAAAGCATAAAAATGAGGGCCATATCATTGGTAAAAAAAATTGAGTTTGAATTTGCTGGAAATGTCTCCCGGAATGCTTTAACTTTAGGAGATGTAGATAATGATGGATGTATTGAGCTTGTTATAGGAAATAATGAAGGAGAAGTTGCCATTTTTAAGGTACTACTTCATACACAATAAATTTCAAGAACTCGAGCTTTTATACAATTACTTTAAATTTTTCAGGGAACCGAGAGATTACAAACAATATCAGATCTTACATTTATCGCATGTGTAGCAGTTGGGGATGTTAAAAATGAAGATAAAAATAGCCTGGTTGTGGTAACTGCTGATGGTTGGTGTTATATTTATGATGTTCTCAGTGAAACTCCTGATGTTAGCCTGGATGAACCTATTACTATTAATGAGGCTGAGATGGGAGAAAGTATAGATGAAGTAAATCATTCTCTTGCTAAATACAAAATATTCTGAACTTTTATTTTTTTCAAATTGAGGTTTTGGTTAAATTTTAATTTTTTTGTGTATAAACATGTACTTTAAATGAAGGTAGATGGGCAAGGCCAATCTTCCTCAAATGCTCCCACTACCAACACTGAAACCCAAAGTAGCAGTGAGTCCACATTTGATGAAGGGAAAAACAGCTTGAAGAAGGAACCAGAACTGAAGAATCCACTTAATTGTGTTCATAAGCAACGGATACCTGCAAATGTAAAAGTATGTATTATATAATTTGGAGTGCAGAAAAATGCCAACATCCTACTGTGAAGCTTGCAAGTGAAACATTGTTTCAGAATATAATGCTAGCTGATGTAGATGGAGATGGTCAAATTGAAATGGTCGTCGGCTTGACTGACAGAGTCGTTCGATCTTACAGGTTTATGAAACACGCTGATAACAGTGCTGTGGATTTGGTTGAAGAAGGTGATGGGTCAGAGGAGAAACTTTTAGGTGTGAGAAAAGAATCAAAATGGGAATTTAGTTTTTCGTGTTAATATTTTATTAGGTACACTAGTTGCTCTAAACAAGTGGGAATGTGCCAATCAAATAGGATCGCTAACTTTGCATCATTCTTTCGACGGGCAACCTTTTATTTTGGTTGCTCAACCCGGTGGCACTTTTATGAGAATCAAGTGCCAATGTGAGGATGGCGATCATGAAGGTCTTGCAGGAAGCAATAAGTAAGGAAAATAACACATTAAATAATATTTTTATTATTTTATTTTTAATGAGAAGCACGTGAATTATCGAATTGAAACGAATGGTATACTCGGCATCATTGCTCAGATTTTTACGAGTTCCTTGTTTAGATTTAATTGTATAAATCTTAGTTTAAAACAAAAAAATTTGGTGTTTTTTGACGGAATTGTTTATTTTAGGTCTAGTAATGATGTACTGCCTAGCTCTGTCGATTATGAGTTTTTGGGAATATCTAGGATGCGAAATCCAAATATTTCAACCGAAATAATTGGTGATTTAAATTCCTGCAGTAATCAGACAAACTGTGAGGACCCGAAACATTCGGATGAAGATAAGGAGCTGTTTAAGAATCGACCATACGCTTTAGCCACTTTAGATGGCACTATTATGTTGGTACAAGATGAAGTTATATTATGGTAAGTTAATAAATCCTAATTAATGTCTACACATTTGATGAGAAAATTAGTATGTTCTTAGAAAGGTTCCTTTTTTGCTTAGAGCCTCAATTATTACATTAAAATAATAGTGTATGAACTTATATTTCATGGAAATGTTTCTGCTGGTCACTTTTACCCAATTGCATCGTAAAAGTTTATATCTGTATAAATTCGATCAAACTGTTTACCTCTTTTTTAAGGGAAGAATCTGCCGTACAGTGTGCATATAAATCCTAAATTTCTATCAATAAAAGATCGCTTACGCAAAATGACTTTGTTGCAGGGCAATTGCTGTAGATCACCAAATATTCGCCTTGAACAAACTGGATATAACAAAAGATGGTCGGGATGATATTGTGGTTTGTGCTTGGGATGGTCAAACTTACATTTTGGATCAACACAAAAATTCAGTGAGATTTCACTTGGAAGAACCAGTTCGAGCCTTTCATAGTGGATGGTATAATGTGGACGTTGAGGAGCCGGCAGTTACTGCTTTAGTTTACGTCACCTTCAAAAATACGGTAAGTTTTGTTCTGTTTTCTCCAGTTTACATTTCATCTAACAATCATTGAATTTTTTTGCCAAAACCGTAATAATCTAAATAACTTACATAAGTGAATCAGAAAAAAATGGTATTTGCAACTAAGAAATAATGCACCCAAATAATTTTGCAATAGCAAAGCAATATTTCAAGATGTTATTTAGCTTTGGGATATTTTGGCGAATGACTCAAACCGGCCGCCGCCTTTTTGGTCATAAGCTCATATCTCAAAAACCAATTGAACAACAGGGCTCGTTTTCCTTCCCCTGGATAGAAAATTCAAAAAACCTTCTGCCAGGTGTAACATGAGTAAGGAAATGTTCGCAGATTTTTCCCAAAAAGTAAAATTTGATCAAACTTTCAATGGTTAATAGAGTGTATCTGGATTATTTTAATATTTGGGAAAAGTGGTGAATGAAACTAACACTTATCTTTCGGCGTTAAATAGAAAACTTCAACTTGAAAATAACGCTGTGTAAAGTGGAGATTTGTAGAAACAAAACTCAGTTTAGTTTTCATTGTCTGAACGATTGATTTCATTTAACGTATTTTTGTTGAGAGTATTGTTTCTAAAGAGGTTCGCATATTTCAGATTATTCTCTATTACGACATCCCTCTGAAACACATGGTTTGCAAAAAATTCGAACCAAATGCAGCTAAGCTCAGCGAGCTTTTCATTGACAAAGACCGAAACCAGCAACAAGCCCTGGAACATGTGGTTAACATGGACAAGAGGACTAAACGTGAATTAGTAGAGTATCTGTTATATGATGCGCGATAAAAGCATTAATATTATTTGTTTTCTTTATATATAACGGTTTATTGAAAAAATTATACCAGTTTTTGGGAGTATTTATTTAATATACGTTTTTTGCGATAACTTTTTTTGTATAAAAAGTCCATTTACCGATTGTCCCCATGTAATTAAATTTTATTAATTACACTTTAGCAAACATTTCCGATGTCATTTTTGAGAAGATTTTTATGTTCAATAGAAGAACGCATACATATACAAAGTGTGTTTAATGAAATGCGAGTTGAATTTCAAAGAGTATATTTCTGATTGCACAATAGTTTTTCCCACTTGTTTAAGTGTAAACAAACAAAAACATACTAAAAAATACCTGCTTAGGCCTTACAAATTTTTGAGATCATCTACGTTCGCTTAATATTTACAACTCTATTATTATCTTAGATTCGGTTTTCTTTCCAAGATTTCATATCTACTTACATGGCTTACTTTAATTCTTTAAAAGCCAATTATTTTTTTATAGCAATGAAGAACTGACTGTATGATTTGTAAATCGTTGATTTTGGATACACGCGATTGTTTACGGGAATATTTAACAGTGAAACATGTAAGCAGATATGTATAACGTAATATGCATATTTAACTAAAATTACTCTAACAATCACCGAACAAATTTACAGATTACATGCTAAGAGATATGTACAAGTTTAGAAAATTACGAAATATATTTTCGATGACCTTTCACAGAGCTGTTGGCACAATCTAATAAAGTTTCACACACATTAAATTCGTCAAAATTATTGTTATTGGTCAGTAGGTCTATTCGTTAATATACAATTGTATATTTACATATTTTCTGTACCTAATTGATGCTCTATTTTTACTAGACGCTGTAAATTTCCAGAACAGAACGCAAGTTGATTTGTTTTTATGCATCTGTGTTTTCTGTAGATAATTACTGATATGAACTGCTTGTTTAAAAAGTGATAATTGAAAAAATATTGGTGGTTATAAGGCTATGTTGTCAAAATAGGTATAATTGGTTCTATTTCACATACTAAAACTATATCAGCAAGGAACTAAAAATTGTTCTACACATACGAAACATTGATACAGTTTCATTTTCGATCCCAAGTGCTGCTATACAACCAAGCTGAATCATCTCTGTTCCGTCCCCAACCTGGTTCAACGCCATTTTCCTAAAACATAAAGAGTGTATTTAATATTAAATACTTTTTTTGGTTTATATGTTAGTACAATAGTGAATGTTTAGTTCCTAATGTTTAAACGTTTTCTTTTTTTAAGTAATATTTTGACACTGTATTTGGAAAAAATGTATACGAATGCTTAAAATCTTACCCCAAACTGGGTGTGGTTGACTCCATTACTGCTGATGTAATCCATGTTCGAGTAGTAATAATTGTTATAACCCGCTCCTGAATTTGTACTCATTATACTGCCTTGGGACGATGCTCCCCATCTGGGTTGATCTATGGAGAAAGCGTCTATAGCCGCCGGTGACCATATACTGGAATTTACCGTATTGCTGTAGGCAGTTGTAGCAATCTGAAAAATTATAATTAAAAATATATTTTTGTTCAAAAAAATTTATCAATTTCATTTAATAAAATAATAAAAAATTTATCAGCTGATCATTTTGGAAATCATCAAACACATTTTTGTATCTTCAAGCAAATCATTTTATTTTGAATACAGTTTTACTTATTTTTTGCTAGATTTTATCTTCCGTAAACGTTCAATGGCCACACGTTCTTGACTAATTACTAGATATGTTTGTCAGTTATTGTCTTTTGCCTTGTAATATTATATTTATGTAGGAATTTAATATATATCCACTTTCGTCGTAAAGGCAAAACGACGTCGAAAAGACGCTAATTTGAAGAAAGCCGCGTAAATCCATTTTAAAGAAGTCCATTTAGTCAGCAAAGCGAAATTGTAGGCAGTCGCACTTGTAGTGTCGGTTAATCAACCTTAGACGGTTCGAAAAATCCGACAGTTAAATTGCAAAAAATCACAAAAAAAACTATGCAAGCACAAAAATCTGATTTTTTTCGAAAACCAGTTTAAATCATGAAAAATGATTAATGATGTATAATTAAAAACTGCATTCCAGCACTTTTACATTTTTCAGGCGTTAGGACGACAACAACTTTCCGGGCGAACATTGTTTATTTAACAAAAGATAAACCAGTCTCTGTCTATTGTATTTTTTACTAGCAAAGTAGCATTTGTAATCGGGACTAGTACGGGTGTTTCCGCGAATGAATAGTTACCATAGTGGAAAATATATTGATAATTGAGGAAGGGTTCTGCAAAGTATTCAGTTTTAGTGCTATTGAGTGTTCGAAACATTTAGTGTTTAAAACATTTCGGAACTAAAATAATGGGAGTAGTTACGGAGATGGACTGGAGAGAATGGGAGAGTTTGAATATTCCGGTGAGTGAAAAGCTTTTAATATGAACATGATAAATAATGCAAGCGGCTTCTTTTGTTACTTGAAAGAAGAATGGCCGTGAATGGAAAATTTGCTATCAGTCTTTGAGATAATAAGATAACATACAGGGTGACCCAACTTTAGATATTTATGAGCTGAACGTAATAGGTGAATAATTGACTAGGAGCGTGAATGGAAAGTTCCACATTTTGTAAAAAAACGTACATAATTCAATCAATTTTAATTAGAACCCATTTGAAAATCATAGGTATTTGGAATTGGTTTCGAAAAATTTTAAAAGGTTTGACTTTTTATATCAATTTCCGATACAACCGACGCAACAAGAGAATAAAGTAACACCGAAGTAACAGAATAGCAAAGACATAAAACATATATTAACGAGCCGATCCTGAGCCGCGGCAATATCCTTCTAATGTTTCGTCAAAACATAGACAATCGGGTCTGGACGCCGCATTACATCTGGGTATAATATTTTCCTCGTATGAGCATAATATTTTAACAAATTATATGAAATTCTAATAATACACAAAGCCCTTGTCCATTGTTGAACTGTTGGCATTTGTTTCTTTTCTGATTAATATTTGATCAAGTAAGTTTTGGTTTTTAAAAAAGGAATAAGGAAAGCATAAAAACTGGAACAGTTTTTTGTTTGAAAACATCGTTTTTATCATTAATTCGCGGAACTCGATATTTTAATCACAACAATCTTGAGAAAAAATGGAAAATAGTTTGTGGTTCCCAATTTTTATTATTCTGAATTGCAAGCAACTAATCCTGTTTTTGAGTGTGTTTGTTTATCTGTTTTGCAAGTTTGCTTATGCTAAGAAGAGAGTGTCTCAAAAATACGTCCAATCATTCATATGCAACTCAGGACACGTTTTTAAAAAATTTAATATCTTTTATTCAAAACTTAAAATTTCAGCTGCATAAAACCAACTTTGTCTTAATGTGCCGTTACAATGTTTAATATTTGACTGTATTATTAGACTCTCGATAATCAGACTCATTCATGATGCAGGAAATTTATAAAATTAAATAAACTGAATGATCTTGTAAAAGTAAGCAAATGAAATAATCAAATAATAACCTAGTGAAATTTCTTTTCAATTTATCTTTCATAAGAAGCGGATATTGGGGCATCAATGTGGTACTAAGTTTTCCTAAGAAGTAAAGCTTTTATTGGGTCTTGTATCTATCTAATTTGATGTGTTTATTTTTATTTAATGAAATAAATAAATCTTGCAAAAAATTTATAATTTCACGGAAATTTAGCCAAAAACTCATTTTACTCGAGTACGGGATGTTAAAAAATTGCATCTTTTAATATGTACTCCACCAAATTTGAAAATACTCTTAAGATTCGCAATTGGAGGTTGGAGTGCTGTTGAATGTTTCTGTTTTCCGCATCTCAATCAGAAGTAGAAATTCTCAAATCAAAGTAGGTAATATAAAAAAAGGTATATCCTGAAAGTGGAGGATCAACTTTCAGATCGTTTCTGATAGTTTCGACCGTAAAGGCGAGGAAATGTTAGGTAGAAATATCAATGAACGCAGTTTATGAAGTTGACTAAGTACTCGTACATTGATTATGTCCAAAAACATTTAACTTTAACTTATTTCGGATCATCCGGACATAGGAGATAAAAATTATAAGTCTGATAGGACATCTATAGACTTAGTTAAAATAATGAATACATATTGAAAGACCTTAATACGAATGATTATGTATAAATGAATTATGAATATTATGAAAAATGAATAAATCAGGACTAGGGTACTTACAGCGGGAGAACTGATACCTGCACCCGGACCTAAATGCTGAGGTTTTGCACAGTTCGGACTATCTCTGAGATGTGAGGCTGGATGTACTGAAGGTGAACTAGCCGAGGAACTGAAACGGTAGCAAGATTTACTATTTATTGGCAAATTTTTAATTATTCCATCCAAAGCAATCGTTTTAACCACATACCTCGTACTGGTATTGTTGCTGGTACTGCTAACAGATACAGGAGTAGTGGGCGCGGCTTTAGCTACAACATTTGATTGTTTCGATTTGATTCTTGAAGTTGGTTTTTCGCTACTTGACGTCGCATTTTGCTGTGTAGCTTGCTTTTGCTGTTGTCGACATTTCGCTCTTCTATTTTTGAACCATACCTAAACATTAAACAGTCGATTTAAAAAAGATATTCGAATCAGCTTAATTTTGGTTGGAAATTGTATTGTCTGATCTATGCAAATTTCAAATTAATTTCCCCTTATTGGTACATAAAAGTATTGTTTTATATATATTTTTTGCTTTCTAATAGTGAAAATGCGTTTTACAAAAGAGAGAATCATTTGTGATCCGAAATGGTGATCCGAAATACATACAATATTTTAAGTAAAACAGTGACTTATAAAACCGGTATTTTCTATATCCATATTTTAATTAAATGTTTTCACTTATATGAATTGCAATTGAAATTTTGCAACGATATTAAGGTAGTTTCATAGGTTTAAAAGCTCTTAATATTCTGCTAATCAGTGGCTCAGTTTACAGGGATAAAAAACAACAGAATAATTTCTTACAAACTATCAAGAAAAATCCACGCATCTTTATGACATAATTTTTGGTCCCGTAGTACACTGTATGTATTATTTTCTCTTTAGTATCGACTAGAACTTCAGTACAGTATTGAATCTGCTCCAAAGCCGTTTTTTTTACCTTCAACACTCTGTTCAAACTTAAAAGTTTGCTTGATCCGCTCTCAGTTTTGAGGAAAATAGGGTTTAGCATTTTTTGCGTAACAAAAAGAGCATTTTTTAAGTTAAGCTTTTATTAATACACATATTTTCTCTTCTGAAAGTGTGTTTCACTTGAAAGTTACATTATCACACAAGATAGTTTTAATGAGTCTTATAAATTAATTATTTAATTAATAGTCGAATTATTTGAAATGATAAAATTTTTATTAAGGAAATTACTGCCTAAAAAGCTTCGCATCTAATCTCACTCGGTATACAGAATGGTAAATCTTTGACTTTACTGATACATTTCTGAATGTATGAATTAGGAAGAAAATATTTTTTTATTTTTCAGTTTATGTTTTCTTGTTATTTATTATTTTTAAATGCGGTATGAACGAATAATTTTTACTGTTACTAAATATTTCTCTTCCCAGAAATTTCATAACATAACATGTGACGATGATACCTCGTATATTGACTTTTACATTTTTCTAATATCGGTTGATAGATGCATGTAATTAAAATCGCGTTTTGCATTTAAAAGCCATGATAAAGCGAGAAAAGCATTATTAAGGGAATCTTATTCAATAATATCCTTTACATATACTAAGCGTTTTAAAGTAATATCCGCCTAAGTTATTGATCATAATATTGCATTAGCATCAGGTGAATGTTTGAAAATATATAGTCTAAAAATTTGATAAACTGGCTGTGGAAAACTTAGGAGAATATTTAAAATTCTGCCTTCCCATTAAAACTATGCAAAAATGAGATTTACTAGAAGATTTTATAATCTCTCAATGACTCTCTGATGAAATTTTCAAGATAAGTTTCTTGAATTACTGAATTAGTCAACTTCTCTTTGGAACTTAATTTACATAAAAATAGTTGATATATTTGCAGCCTGTGAAGGACTTACTTACTGAATATTTTAAGTAAAAAAAATCAATTTTACTTAAGGCTTTTTTATAGACGATACAACAATAGTGTAAATGTGCCTCTGTGTGCCTGTAAATAATGTGGCAGTGCAAATAACATCTTTATTCCTCTATTCGAACATAGAAAACATCAAATATTACCTGTAAGTATCAAATGTGTCTACCTAACTAGAAATCGATAGACAGAGTCGTGCTGCAATGTTACAAAAGGAATTCATACAACTGTTGAAAACGAGAACGCTATTGATAATGCTAGATGAAAGCATTCCTAAGGTTTTCTATAGAAAGACGTATTTAGAGGCGTCGAACACAAAGATACCGAGCATAAATAGAGCCAGAGCAGCTAAATAAATATCAGCAGAGAAAATCGACAGGCTTTATCGGGTTTGTAACAAAACGAGGGATGTAGGTAAACGACGAGATTATGATTGATCAACATTTAGTTAATTCTACTTACAAAAATGCCGTTCAGTCATTTTTAATTGAAAAAAAGGAGTTTAACTTCCATAAATAAACGTCGCCACACAATTGCATAATTGCCAGTTGCTTAATAGTGCTGATTAAAGTAACAAAGTCAAGCCGTTTGCCCCAGTGCTAATTTATACACGTCGGAAAGTAAGGGTGCCCCATATACATTGAGGGTACAATCGCTTGTGGGCGAAACGTGCTTGGGCATAATAATAATAAGCCCACGACTGATGGTGTGAAATTAATAGTTTCGTAAACGTTGCTCTTTCTTTCACGCTGATGCATTATGGTGCACTCTGTTGTTCGGTTTTTGAGATTTTTATTGTCGACACACGTTCGATATGCCAGAATTTTTTTACATAAAGGGTGCCACTGCGATGTATGAGGACGAATTTTTCAATACATAAAAGCCACTATGTACGAAGATATTTTTGCAGGCGGCTGTTTATAATGCAACCAGTCTGCATAAAGAGTCAAGAACTTTGATTGTAAGGGCGACGACCCTTAATGGGACGAGTGTCTGAATGGACTCACTTTTCTTTTCTGGAATATTTTTTTACATATATTT